TTTTGTTGGCCAAAATCCTGATCGATTGTCTTTTGTGGACCAAGGGTTGGGGGATGGAGCGCCGAGTTACGGGTTCGGTCGCTCCATTCACGTGTGCCTTCCTCACCTCCAGTTTTCCGGACTCTATATTGACACCGGACCCATGTGGAGGAGCAGGGCGTGCGGTAGATGCTGCGCAAGTTTACCATCACTGTAACTTAATTCACGCACAAGTCACTGCGCCTGCTTCATCTTCCTGTGGAGCACACGGTGGGCATCGTCGGATGAGACGACGACTGAGCATGGTGTCAAGACAGAGTAAAGAAGACTGGAGGTGGGGAGCGCGAGGTTGATGGCACGGTCGAGCTCTTTCCTGGGCGTTATACTCCACATCCACTGGTCCACACTACAAATAACTAGGTTTTTTATCAAGACAACAGAGATTGGAGGCTGGCACGGCCGATGCAGCCGCACCTAGACGCGCTGCCAACGCCTGGCTCGGATCCCACAAAGTGGGAATGCCATAAAGGCCAAATAAAGAAGGAGCCATTGCAGCCTGACTCTCAGACCTCCAGTCAAGGAGGTCCAAGTTATCTTGTCAGTTGGAAACCTTCCATGCCACTGCTTTTAGCGCACGATAATAGCTTCAAGCGCGTCGGATTGTTTGTAGTGAGGAGGAAAGTGCGCTGAGTCGTCGACCTCACTCTCCCTTCCCATTCCCACACCCCAGCCACTGTCCGAGCCGGTCAGCAAGCTGGAGTGGGGAATGGGTGCGATGACTGGCATGGTGGACTGACCATGCCTGCGCGCGTCACGCGCACGACCTGGCCCCCCAGGCACACAAACACCAGGATTTCACACAGCGGGTGTTATAGTAATAGTGTATTTTAGGGGTAATCGGCAATGCCGTTGATGACCCCATTGAAAACGGTACATTAAATTTAAATGTTCAACGCACATCTTACTAAAATGATGTCAGTAACATATTTGTTCACGGAAAACGTTTTCACAGCGCGGGACTGTGATGGGTGCGGCAGGCGGTCTTTTCAGTGTACATATGAAATTCTAAGTGCAGTTATATACAGTCAGCATAAAGTGCAGTCAGTTGCATAGTTTGAGAGAGAAAATTTCATTAAAAGTCGGGGATGTGTTAAGTAGGGATGAAATCAGGAAATGAAATTTATAGCTGGTCGCAGATAGTCCTGCAATGAGAGTCGTCGTTTATCAAAGATCAAACGATCCAGCTGCCTTTTGAATACAGCCGTTGTATCAGATGTCACTATTTCACTTGAGAGTGAGTTCCACGGTCGAACAACACGCTGGCTGAAGGGAAACTTCCGATAGTCAAGGCGTGTACGCTCCCGCTTGACTTTGTAAGGGTGACCGCGCAGGTGACTCGTGGTCGTGAATTCAAAGAAGTTTTCAGTTTTGAACGAACATTCATGCCCGTGGATTATGCGAAATGTATATAGCAGGTCGCACCTCATTCGTCTATAGGATAGGGGAGAAAATTTAACTGGATCAGTCTTTCTGGGTAGGACAGACTCCTGAGACTGTCCACCAATTTTGTGGCCCATCGTTGCAGCTACTGTATGGCATCGCTGTCTTTTTTCATCCAGAACATCCATGATGGCTTTCCGTATTCCAAGTGCGGTCTGAAGAACGTGCCGAATATCTGTGAGAAGAGTTCTGGAGGAAAGATTTTGAAGGCATGCCTAATCCAGTGCATGATGCTGGTTGCCTTTTGGACGACTCTTGTGCAGTGCAGAGAGGGCAGCAAGTTTGAGCATGTCCAGACACCTAGGTATTTGTGCGTGTCCACTTCTTTTAGTGGAATCCCATTTATGGTGTACTGATGTTTTGGGAAGCGCCTGCGACCAGATTCTAATCGCCACATGCATGACCTGGCCCCCTAGACACACACATACACCAGGATTTCGCTCAACGGGAGTTGAATGGCGGAGCACTCACTTGCGTGAGAGGGCCGTGGAAGGTGCTGTTTCACCCCGTCGCCCAGCCCACCAGTCCGCCACTCCACACGCACACAACGGGACGGACTGCGTGGACCGAGTGGGGGCGTCAATCAGCAGCCTTCCTATCCATGACGTTTGACGTGTCGGAGTAGTTTCAGACTCAAGTCGACTGTGCAGCCGAAGCCGCATGGGTACCGAGTAGATATGCATGTATCATGCATTACACGTACATAGTCCTTTGTTCCACGGAATAGACAACTCTGGGGCCACATATCAGTGTGGCTACTACGCACCTCCTAATCATGCGCGCGAACAACGCGTTAGCTTATGAGAGAAGTTGTGTGTTGTTTATTAGAATCCTTGAATTGCGCGCACATATAGCAAACATTGTGGATAGGTTAACGACCGCAATCCCAAAGATTGTCATACCCCTAGCCAAAGCGAAGCAACTCCAAACTAAACAGTTAATTCGCAGCCTAACCAACTCGTTTTGATGATTGTTCCTAGCTTTTTAATGAAACTGAGGACCGATTTTGAGGGTTTTGGGGAAGAGGTATTGTAGTCAGAGATGTTTGCCATAGCATATCTGTCATCGATGCTATTTGAATTTTTGTACCTCTTCCAAACCCTGCGCCTAAACTGAAGCAATACCGGAGCTGATGCTGGCCGACAAGGGGGCTGAAGTGGTAGTTATTGGATTTGGAAAGCCCGCGGAGTGCGTCACTTATTCAGAAAAGAGTCTTCTGGTGCCCTACCCACTTTTGCCAAAATGGATCAGGAATAGTGCCTATCCCGACGCAGAGATACAGGTAAGCCCGTTTATTTAATTCCAGTTCTCGGGACAAAAATTGGCGAAGCACGTGTCTGGGCTTTGGCCAACAGCTGTACTGGGAGCGTGATGAGTCACTTTCAATGTGCTCTTCTTTATCACTGATTACCCCTTGACAATTTATGAACGTCGTGCAGTAATGACACTGCAAATGATGGAGTCAGGCTAAACTATGGCGAACGTGAAATGTTTTGACTCAGTGATTTAGCTTGTGGTCCACAGGTTAATTTTCGTGGAAATGAAAAGACTAAGGTTCTAGTCTCCTTTGTCACTCTTCCCAATGCACCAGGGTGACTAACTGTTCATGGTTATGTATCGACGCGCGATGGTTTTAGACCGGATCCCGACTCAAAATTGGACCAGCCAGTAAACGTTGCAGTTGGTTGCAGTGTATTTCTTGCGTCGCCCAAGGTCCTCGTACGACAGGTTTTAAGATTCGCATTTGCCGAAGTCCTGACTGGACTGAGCAATTTTGCCGAATTGAAGCGGAAATCATTCAGACTTGCTGTCCGTTGCCATGATGGACTAGTGGGACTTCAAACAAAGTGGCATTTATAATATTATTAACAATTTCCAAAGGCCCTATAATTAAAGTTGATTGTATACTACTGACTAAACCGTGCGCTGCATTACAGGTCGTGTGACTGCTGGAAAATGTTGCAACAGAATCTCGTACAAGGAGTCATTACGTCACTCGAAAAATGGTCCTCAAGCAGTGGTGGTCAAATACCTCCAGTTTTCACTCGTCCTCCACGCGCAAAGCCCAGCATTCACAACCGTAGAGAAGGACAGATCGGACAGATGCAGGGCACACGCGAATCTTAGTGGCGATGGAGAAGTCACATCGGTTCCACAGGCATTTCCGAAGGCTTGAGAAAATCCAGCGGGCAGTATCGAGTCGGGAAACAATGTCGTCCTTACTCTGTCGATTAGGCAGCAGCCTCGCCCCGAGGTATTTAAAACTGTCTACTTCTTCAAGCTGACGGCGATCAATCCCGAGGGCTGCCTTCTCTTGGTCAGGGATGCAGCTTGAAAGCACCTTGGCCTTTCAAGCGTTTATGGATAGACCGGCCGATGTAGCGACCTCGTTCACCCGTGACACCATAGACTGCAGATCACCAAAACTTGAAGCAAGTAAGGCGATATCCTCGGCATTGTCGAGATCAGTCAGTCGATGCCGGGTGCAAACTCAACGCCGTCACTCTCGGGTAGGGCCCTCCCGAGGATCCAGTCAGTAGCATTGCTGAGCAATATGGGTGACAGGATACAATCCTGTCGGACGCCAGACCGAATACCGAACGGTTGAGAAAAATTGTTGCGGACCAGGACTCTCGCAGTAGTGGAGCGATAGTAGGCCTTGATTATGGCGGTGATTTTTGCCGGTACGCCATCTAGCGCCATTATCCGCCACAGGGACTCGCGGTGAACGGAATCGAAAGCGACGGCAAAGTCAATGAAGCAGACGGCCGTCAGTTGTTGGTAGATATGGCGACATTCGAGAATGCGCCTCATTGTGAATATCTGGTCTGCGCATCCACGTCCAGAACGAAATCCGGCTTGGTTGGGCCTATTCCTTGAGCCACGCACAGCCTGGAATCGCCTGAGTAGGACAATAACAAAGATCTTCGCAGCAACGTCGATGAGACTTATGCCGCGGTAGTTCTCGCATCTCGTTTTATCTCCCTTCTTGAGGATAGGTACATGGATGCCTTAGCCCCAGTTATCGGGAAAAACCTCGTCTCTCCGCGCTCGTTCAATCACCTCATGGAGCCAGAGCGCCAGAGTATCGACACAGACTTGAAGATTTCAGCGGGTATGCTGTCCTCTCCAAGTGCCTTATTGTTGCGCAACTTTCGTATGGCATCGGCGACTTCTCCTTCAGAGGGGGGTCGCATGGCACTGCATAGGTAGGAGAGGGAAGAAACTCCACTGAAGCGAGGTAGGTTGGGTATCGAAGTTGAGATGGTGCTCAAAGTGCTCACGCCAGCGCTCGACTTTGGCCGAGTTGTCAGCAATAAAGCCGCCGTTTACATCGGGAACAGAGTTACTTAATTTAGAGGGCTTACCGCTAACTTGACGGATCAGACGGTAGAGCTTTCGAGTATCACCAACGTTCGAGGTCTGTCCCATGGAGGTCGCTATTTCAGCCCAATATTGCTTCCGGTCATCCCTGGCCGATTTTGCCGTCATCTTCCGAAGTTGACAAAAGCAGTCATCGTTGCGGGACCTGGCTCAAGCCGTCTGAGAAGACAACTGCAGGATTCTTCCGCTGATCCAGTCACTGCGGCGTTGCTGGGTGTATCCAAGGATTTTCTCAGCTGCCCCATAGACTGAAGTCTTCAGTGACGACCACTGGTTACTGACTTCTCCGTCGGCTCGGGTCGTAAAACAGGTCCGGATATCTCTGCTTAGGACTTCAGCAGTGCTGGCTTGCCGGATTTTTGTGACATTGAGGCGTCTAGGGCGTGGTATATTTGGCGCGGATGGGAGATGAACTTTCAAGCACGTACGGACAAGGACATGGTCCGACCCATGGGCGTTACCAGTCTCGGCACCCCGCATCGATCTGCTATCGTGAACCCAGCTGCGGAACCTTGAGCTGACTAGTATGTAGTCAATCTGACTGGCCGTATGACCATCGTTTGAATACCAGGTCAGCAGATGTTTTTTGCGATGCTGGAAACATGCGTTGGTGACAAGCAGTCGGTTTCGATCAGCGAAGTTCAGCAATCTCATATTATATGAGAGTATATTGTCCTGGTATGTGCGGATTTCTGAACAGAATTGACAATTATTTCCGTTCTATCTCGCAGAAAGTGGGCGGGGAAACGACCAATACATGGATAGTGAGACATTAATGAAAAGTTCTGGCTTATCTGATAGTCTTTACAAACTGTCAGCCAAAACCAAAGCTACCCACCAAGGCCACGTCATCCCTCCCCATTGTTAGTTTATTACGAAAGTCAGGTGCTGATATTTTGACTGATGCATCAGCGACTGGTGTCGGCAAATATATCAGAGAATGATCATGTCAGCGTGTCCGTTTTCCTCAGTAAAACGTACCGACTGATACTTTCAACAGCCCTACGTAATCGCCTGTGAAAAGCGCGGAGAACGCCTTCGAAGGCAAGAAGGAAATGTCAATTCTCGTTGTCTAATCCGGGTAGATCGTTCACTTCATTGGATATATGTAACTAATTTCGTCCTACATGACGTGATTCCGTAGAGCAGTAGTTGTGACGTCGTGCGGTGGTTAAGTAACTTGGATTTGAACCGGACTGTGTAGCCGGTGGTTAAAATATCATTGGCTTGTGACGAGCAAAATACCGGAAATGATTATCCCTGTTCCCTGTCTGACAGTCTTTCCTTATTCGCATGCGGAGCAAACTCGCACAGAGCACAATACTTGCGTTATTGGATTTGGCTCTCGACTGGAGTGCTATCCGAGATCTGTCTTGCCTTATCAAATGACCTCAGGGGTTTATCGTGAAGTATTTTTAGTTATACTGATTTCAAACTGTCCGATGGGATCTGTTACGTCGTGTTAAACTGAGCTCTAGTTAGGAAGGTGACTTCAAGACAGAAGGTTTCACAAGACTCGTTGCTCTGATCATTGTTGTTTTCGACCTTCGTCGACTAGGCAACTAAACAATACGGTTACATCGTAGAATCGGAAATTGAATTTGAGCCTTCTAACACCACCGAGGGAGACAAACTTCTCTACGAAGAACTAATACGTCCAATGATAACCAAAACTACTCACTGATGGTCGGATGCTATTCCTTAAGTGGGTCCCAGGATTTTTTGATTGCCAACTATAGCGCCAACCGACTTTGAACAAGCGCGCTCAAGTGTCGAACCCATAGTATCCATGAACTGAAATTGACAGTCTTGAAATAAGAACGCACATTTTTTGCAGCACCTGTATAACCATAGTCAGCTCGGTCACACGATATTCATTTGCGGCATGCATTTAGAAGCTGAGGTCGTGTCAACGGTATGCTGGGCGTCCGATTACAGGCTTTATTGAGATAATACTGAAGAACTGCATTCTTTGGAAACGTGCCGTTCATTCTTTGCGGATAAAGAACGAGACTGCCAACAATCAAAAGCGAGTAGAATGCCACCCTCCACCAAACCGAACGAAGGGAATAAGGTATAGATATAATTTGAAACGGTCATGGTTAAGGGAGATTTTGGCTACCATATTCCGGAGCCCTTTCCCAAACTCTGTACGCTTTGGAGATCACTCTGACGCCGTAACAGCCAGGCGTCCATTCATTTAGAATCAATTGCGGCTGTTAGTCCGAGTGCAGCTTACCGCAGTCCTAGAATAGGAAATGGGAACACCATGATCGAACGGTCTTTGCTGGTATTACTCAGAGGCAGAACTAGGAGACGGAAACCTTCGTATTCTGTTCAGTATCGGGCAACCTAAATAACCAAGTGTCGTTAAAAGAGTAAGTTATACACGAAAACGCACTACCAAACGACGGCCAGTCGTCAGGAAGCGAAACCCATCATACTGTCCCTCACTCTCGCAGTCTCTCAGCCACCACCACAAACCTCTTTATTCCAGCAGCTTACTGATAACATTGGTTCGCCAGCCTACGTGTTTCTAACATGCAAGAATACGTGAAACGCTTTATGCTTCCGCCGTAAGGCCATGTTATCTATAGACTATCCCATTCTGCCGATTGCCTTAATGGGTAACCTGTTGTCATTCCACGACTGGACTTGTTGTAACTACTTTCCTTACGTAGGTAGT